CCCACCCACCCCCAGGAAACCCTCTCCCACTTCCACACCCACCCCACCTCCGGCCTCCCCGCCTCCCTCATCCCCACCCTCCTCTCCACACACGGCTACAACGAATTCAGCGTCTCATCCCCCGAACCTCTCCTGCTCAAATTCGCGAAAACGATATATGAGAGTCCGTTGATCTTGTTGTTGTGTGGGAGCGCGATTATTAGTGCGGGGATGGGGAATGTGGATGATGCGGTTAGTATTGGGGTGGCGATTTTGATTGTGCTGTGTGGTGAGTTTTTGTTTTTCTTGTTGTTCTTGTTCTTGGGGGTGTGTTTGAGAAGGGGGGAGAGGGGAGGGGAAGGGAGGAGGGGAAGGGAAGAGAGAAGGGGATGAGGATGAGGATAATGCTGATTGAATTTTATTTTGATATAGTTGGTTTCATACAGGAACGCAGGTCGGAGAAGAGTCTCGAGGCGTTGAATAAGCTCGTTCCGCACCATTGTCATATCATCCGGTACGTTTTCCTCTTCCCCCCTCCTTCCCCTCTTCCCCTACCCTCCGTCTCCTCCCCTTTCCCCCTACCCTCCGTCTCCTCCCAACCCCCACCCTCCTTCTCCCCTTCATCCTCCTTCTCCGCTCACCCACCCTAATCCAGCGACTCAACCTCGCACCACCTCCTCGCCAACGAAGTCGTCCCAGGCGACATCGTAACATTCTCAACCGGCGACCGGATCCCGGCCGATGTTAGGCTTGTCACTGCGGTGGATTTAGAGATAGATGAGAGTAGTTTGACGGGGGAGACGGAGGCGAGGAGGAAGGGGGTTGGGAGGGTTGGGGGTGGTGGGGCGGGTGCTTTAGGTGGTCATAGGGCTGAGAATGGGTATGGGATGGGGAATGGGAATGTGGGAGGAGATGGGAGTGTGAGTGGGGGGCCGTATGCGAATGGGAATGGGAATGCGAGCGGAGGGCATGGACATGAGGGCGTGGCGTTGGCGGATAGGGAGTGTATAGCGTATATGGGGACGTTGGTTAGGAATGGTGAGTCGTGCTTCGTGCTTTGTGCTTCGTCTTTCGTCTTTCGTCTCTTTTCTTTTCTTTCGTTCTTTCCTGGAGTTTTTGAGAAGTATTTGTTGGATGTCTTTCGCGCTCTTTCCTGGATGTCTTTCGTCTTCTTGTCTGGATCTCTTTCGCCTTCCTTCCTGGACTGCTTTCGTCTTCTGAGTTTTGAGAATTGGGTGCTGACGAGTGGTTATGTGTGCGCGTAGGGAGAGGTTCGGGCGTGGTCATCGCCACAGGGGCTCAGACCGAGTTTGGCGTGATCTTTACTATGATGCAGGATGTGAGTCTTCCCCTCCTAACCCCCCCCCCCCCCTCCTCTCTTTCTCCTCCCTGTCTCATTTTCACTTCCTTGACCTTCTCGACCTTCTCGGCCGTCGTTAAAACTATCATTTATCATTGTTGGCGTCAATAGGTCGAAGAGCGCCGCACGCCCCTCCAACTCAACATGGACGAACTCGCAAAGAAACTGTCGATCATCTCTTTCGGCGTCATCGGCGTCATCTGTCTCATTGGCGTGTTGCAGCATCGGTCGTGGTTGGATATGTTCACTATCGGAGGTGAGTTCGTCACATTCCTATTCCCTCCCATTCTGTTCCTCCCCTCCCCTCCCACCCCAGTGTTGTCCGCTCTAGTCCATCCCTCCCTCCCTCCCTCCCTCCCTCCCTCCCTACATAACTTACAACCGGTGTGCTCAACTGCGACCCCCTTCCGCTCAAGCCAGTCTCTCTCGCCGTGGCCGCAATCCCAGAAGGCCTCCCGATCGTGACGACGGTGACGCTCGCGCTGGGCGTACTGAGAATGAGCAAGCGGAGCGCGATCGTGAAGAAACTGCATTCGGTCGAGGCGCTCGGTTCGGTTTCGGTTATTTGTTCGGATAAGACTGGTGTGTGCTCCTATTTTCTTGCTTTTTGTTGTTATGGAAGATGAGAGCTAACGACTCATGGTCCACTGATGGTTCTATTCATGATCAAAAGGCACCCTGACGAAAAACGAACAAACAGTAACCGAACTCTACTCCGTCGACGAAGTCATCCACATCGACCCCTCCTCCTCCACGCCCATCTCCCTCTCCCCCCGCACCCACACCCACACTCACAACAGCCGAAACAGTACCAATAACCCATCAACGATCGCCCCCGCCCTGCGCAAAACACTCGAGATCGGCGCATTGTGCAATAATGCGTCCATCGCGCGCAACGAAGAAGGCGTGTTCGTGGGCCAGAGCACGGACGTCGCGCTGTTGAACGTGTTGGGTGTGTTTGGGATGCTCGAACCGAGATTGGGGTTCACGAGAAAGGAGGAGAGACCGTTCAGTTCGGAGAGGAAGTACATGGCCGTGAGCGGGACACATACTTCACCGCCCCCGCCAGGCTCCGGGGTCCCGAATCCCAGTGTCGCGGCCCTGAGTGGTGGCGGCGGGAAGGAAGGGAGAGAGATGTGCTATATCAAAGGATCGATAGAGGCCATCCTCCCAAGATGCAAGTTCTATCACGTCTCCGACGAATCGACGCCCGCGCTCGATACGAACACGCGAAACGTCATACTCGGCAAAGCGCAGTCGACAGCAAGTCGGGGCTTGAGGGTCATCGCGATGGCTTATGGATCCGGCTCACTCAGCTCCACGTCCACATTCACTCCCAACGGCGACTCTCGATCCTCTTCCCCTGCACCGGGTGGTACTGCCGGTGGAGCGTCGACGGGACTGGAAAAGTCGAACCTCGTGTTTGTGGGGTTCACGGCGATGCTCGATCCGCCGAGGAAGGGTGTCGCGGATGCTATTTCGCTGTTGCAGTCGGGTGGAGTTCAGGTGGTCATGATCACCGGTGACGCGGAAGAGACGGCGATGTCGATCGCGAGGGATTTAGGGCTTAGAGTGCCGGGTGCGAGCGCCGGGCATCATCATAGTTCCAGTGCGAGTGGGCGTGTGAGAGGCAATGGGAGTCTAAGCGGGAATGGGAGTCTGAGTGGGAATGGGAGCCTGAGCGGAAGTGGGACTGTGAACGTGAACGCGGGGTTCTGTTTGACGGGGAGGGAGATTGATGGGATGAGTAAGGCGCAGTTGAGGGAGAGGGTCGCGGGCGTGAGCGTTTTTGCGAGGACGAGTCCGGGGCATAAGATGAGGATCGTGGAGGCGTTTCAGAGTCGGGGCGCGGTCGTGGCTATGACGGGCGATGGAGGTCGGTTTTCTTTTTCC